GTAGGTCTTGATCTTTCGTTGTGTAGTCTTGGAATATGGTTGTTGTTTCACAATTTAGTATTTCGTTGATTTCTTCCAAACTGTCCACTTGGTCGAGATCGTTGTCGACGCTGCGTGCTTCGTCGGTGGAGTTGTCTAAATGGTGACGACTGAGTGTGTCAGCTAGCAGCATCTCCGTCCCTTTCTTATAAACGATGGTTAAGTCATATTGGTGTAATCTCATCATCATCTTTTGAAGACGTCTAGGTGCTGCTGACAGAGGTTTCTGATGAATGACTTCGAGCGGCTTGTGGTCTGATTCTACTGTGACTGGTTGGCCATATGTATACTGGTGAAAACGCTCGGTTCCATAAACTATAGCTAACAGTTCCTTTTCTATCTGAGCGTATTGTTTCTCCGCGTGCGTCAATGCTCGGCTGGCAAATGCGACAGGCTTTCCCTCTTGAATGAGTGCGGCCCCCAGGCCGTGGTCGCTAGCGTCACACTGTATTATCAGGGGTTTGGTCGACTCGTAGTACTTGAGGACTGGCGGTACGCTCTGTGATCAATTTCTTTATTTGGGTGAAAGCGGCGTCATGCGATTTGTCCCAATCGAAAGGCTGGTTCTTTTTTGTGAGTTGTCGTAGTGGTTCAGATACTTGTGAGAGGTGGGGAAGGAACTTGGCAAGATAATTAACTGTTCCGAGGATTCTCCTGACTCCAGCCACGTCTGTGGGTTGCTTCATTTCTAGTATCCGCTTGGACACCGTCAGAGGTAAGAATATGGCCAATGTATGGCATTGAGCTCTTCTTCAACTCAATCTTGTTTGGGTTAAGCTTGATATGTTTAGCTCTGCAGCGGTCGAATAGTTCCTTGAGCTTTCTGTCATGGTTGGCTACAGCTTCCTGCATCGTCTCTCCATTTCCTATTACTAAAATGTCATCAGCAACAGTCCGTACACCATCCAGGTCATCAATTGCCTGGTCTAGTCGTTGATGGAAAATCTCTCCTGCAGGAGAGATCCCGAAAGGCGTTGCCATTTAAATCGTCCAAATGGAGTGTTGAACGTCGTTAAAAGAGACGACTCTTCGTCTAATTCTACTTGCCAATATCCGTTGCTACAGTCGACTTTGGTAAAGACTTTTGCATTGGACAGTTCTCGAAGTACGTCGTCAATTGTCGGTATTGGATGGTGGCATCGTTTCAGCGCTTTATTGAGTGGTCTGGGATCGAGGCATAATCTAATTTTTCCATTGGGTTTTGGTGCAACAACAATTGCGCTGACCCAGTCTGCTGGATAGTCTACTCGTTCTATGACCTCAAGCTTGACAAGTTCGTCCAAATGTTCTCGCAACGGTTGCTTCAGCGACTCTGGGATTTTTCTTGGTGGGAGTTGGACAGGCGACATTTCAGGATCAACTTCAAGATGCAGTGCTGGACCTAAGGTGCCAAGACCTTCAAAAACATCTTGGTATATGCCTTTGACGTTTTGCATTGTCAGTCCCATTTGATCAGGCCGAGTCAGGTCTTCATTAATTTGATCGACATGAATTGGGCTCCCAATTTGAATCAAATTCATTTGTTGCACGGTGCGGCAGCCAAGAAGGTTACTTTTTGCATTCTGGTCATCAACAACAGTGAATGGTACTTTGAACTTTTGCTTTGTAATTGGATCTTGTACTTGTATTTTGCACTTTCCAAGGGGTGTGAGTGATGAGTTGTTGTACATCTTTAGAACATGTGCCGTAGGTTTGATGCGCCGTTCGTACTTAGTGCCTTTTAATTCACTCTTTTTTAGGACATTGCAGGTTGCCCCTGTATCGATTTGAAATTTGGTTGTGTTCCCCCCTTTTATTTTCATGGTAGCACAAATCCGTGATTTGTAAATGTTCGGTTGGTGTATTGTATTGATGGTATCATTCTCGGTGGGGTCTAGTTCGACAGTCATAAGCGAGTCGCCTGAATCACTTGAGTCGTTTCCAGTTACTGCGTGAAGTGGCTTTTGGCGGGAATATCTTCCTTTCTGCATAGAAACTTTGGCGAAGTGATTTTCGCGACCACAATTCCGGCAGCGGCTTCCAAATGCAGGACATAATTCCTTTTTTCGTTGGTGCACTGTTCCACAATATTTGCATTTAATTTTGTTGTCACGCCCCCCGTCACGCCTATCAAGTCCGATACGCCTGTCATCGCGTCTTCCGGTTCCTGTGCTTCCGGTTCCTGTGCTTCCGGTTCCTGTGCTTCCGGTTTCGGTTTTGTTGTTTACAATGGCGTTGATTTCGCCCTCATTTGCTTCGCTGTTCGCCTGGATTTTCTTGACTTGTTTCTTCGTGGTCTCGCTACTGCGACAGATGTCGATGGCTTTTGTCAAGGTGAGTTTTCGATCTTGCAATAGCTTTTTTTGAGTTGCATTATCGTTGATTCCTATGACCAGGCGATCGCGTATCAAAGAATCTCGTAAACAATTACAGAAATTACAAGATTGTGCCAATGTTCGCAGTGCTGTTGCGTATTGGTCGACTGTTTCGTTTTCATTCTTTTGTCTGCTGTTGAAAACGAATCTCTCATAGGTTTCGTTTGTTTCACCTAAGCATAACTCTTTAACTGATTTGGTTACAACAATGTCAAATTTCGTGCGGTCTTCTTCCGAGGCAAAATCTAAGCCCTCAAAAATTTCCATTGCGTCCTCGCCGATGCACGAAAGGAACGTTGCTGTTTTGAATTCATCTTCAAATCGGTTAAGTCTTGCCACTATTGCATAGTTATCCCGCCAAGATCGCTTGAATTTCTTCCAGTTTGAGGCAAGGTTTCCTTCAGTTTTTAATGGCTTAGGCATGGCCAAGCCCGCTGGCAATAATAGTTGACATGCCGAGGCTGTGTTCGGCGTGTTTTCTGCTTCGTTGCCGTTCGCTTCTTCTGTCATTTTCAATAATGTGAGCTGGCTTCTTTTAAACTCCTGACACCATGTTATTTGCTTCTCACTTTCATTAACTTTTGATAGTTTTATTTCTTATAGTATAATTAATATTCGCATAATATAAACTCATAACATGTATATACTCGATCTATCTCTAAAATCCCGTGTCCTACAACTATTTCGCGCCCTTTTCGTTAGTTTCCAGTTTTCCCTGTCCGAGCAAATATAACTAAAATATTAATGTCAACAGTAAATGTCCAACACACAGTAGCATCTTTTTATGAGTAGAACAACATGCAAAAGTGGGGCCATCGTGAAACTGTTTTTTTTAGAGAGTTACGATGCTATTAGCATTATTTGCTATTAAATTCTACTACAACAAAAAATGTGAAATTTTGACTATTCAATCGCGACAAATATAACTTGAATCATCAGAAAGGTTGTAAAAAAACTACATTTAAAGACTTTTAAACAGTTTTTTGATTCTTCAAATGGCTATTGCTGTAAATTAGGCACATTATCTCGCTAAAAGTCCCTAATTTTACAGTAGTTCCCGTTGAGGTTAAAAGCATCAAACTTTTACAATTGATGTAGTTTTATTTGCTTAATAGATATTTGAAGTGGGGCCATCGCTATTATGCTGCTAACTCCTGAAAACGGGTGATTAGTGATTTTCTTCTATTGAATTCTATTATAGCCAAAACATGTGAAATTTTGTATTCAATTACAACACATATGACTTGCATCATCAGAAAGCTTATAAAAAACTGCATATATAAGACACTTAGACAGTTTTTTGATTTCTGAAATAGTTTTCGAATTATAAAATGCGTTTTTAACAGTTTATCGAAACTATTTCAGAAATCAAGTTCATCAATCAAGTTCAGTTTTTTATAAGCTTTTTATAAGGGGGCCCCACTATGAGTTATGATTGAAATAATATTGTATTTATTTTTAAAAACCTACTTGAATCCCTTGATAATCGAGTATTTCTTCTCTCGAAATTCTGTAAACATTTTAAACTGCTTGGAGTCATTATACTATCACTCTACATGACGTTTCATGAAGTATAGATGATCGCTGACAAGTAAGGACCGCGGGCGCGAAAAGACGAAGGCGGCGAAAGAAGGAAGAATTAAACTAAAGGGTTGAAACTTCGGCGGGTCATCGTTTGATGTGTTCCATAAGTAGGTTGTTCTCCAGAAATTTCGCACGGGGCCCCAATGTGAGTTAGGATTGAAAAAATATTGTATTTATTTTTAAAAACTTACTTGAATCCCTTGATCATCCATTATTTCTTCTCTCGAAGTTCTGTAAACCTTTTAAATGGCTTGGACTCATTATACTTGACGTCACGAGAACAACCTACTTATATGGAACACATTGTGCGAAAAAACGCTTCGAGTGTTTCATGTAAAAACATACGAAAAATCAATCGTTTATCGAATCTACTACATCAGTTGTGAATATATATCCAAAAAGACATAGAATCTGAAAAAAAATATTCGAAAACACCGATAAATTGTGAATTTTAAAGCATTTAGAAATGTCATCTAGTCGAAGTTTCAACCCTTTAGTTCAATTCTTCCTTCTTTCGCCGCCTTCGTCTTTTCGCGCCCGCGTTCTTACTTGTCAGCGATCATCTATACTTCATGTAGAGTGATAGTATAATGATTCAAGCAGTTTAAAATGTTTACAGAATTTCGAGAGAAGAAATAATCGATTATCAAGGGATTCAAGTAGGTTTTTAAAAATAAATACAATATTATTTCAATCATAACTCATAGTGGGGCCCCCTGTGCTTTCTGATGATGAAAATATTTCAGAAATCAAGTTCAGTTTTTTATAAGCTTTCTGATGATGCAAGTCATATTTGTTGTAATTGAATACAAAATTTCACATGTTTTGGCTATAATAGAATTCAATAGAAGAAAATCACTAATCACCCGTTTTCAGGAGTTAGCAGCAAAATAGCGATGGCCCCACTTCAAGTATCTATTAAGCAAATAAAACTACATCAATTGTAAAAGTTTGATGCTTTTAACCTCAACGGGAACTACTGATCAATAATTTTACACATATCCGCCTCACCATAGTGCACTGAAGGATAATATTCACCTCAACGCTTATTCACATCCACTTTGATGAGTAATATTGTTGACTATGCATACTATACGGTAATATGATCATAATGGCACTTACATCGTTGAGGAAATAGTTTAAATAAGATCTGCCTTGAACTGTGTCCGTGGGTTCCGTGAGCGCAATGCCAATGGCAATGTATGATCAGCAAGAAGCAAAACATGAAAATTCTTTCCAAAATTACAACCTTCATAGCTACTAGGCAGCTGGACATTAATTTTCTAAGCCAAAGTATTAACAGCTAGCCTTCAATAAAAGTTATACCGCGACTGAGATATATGCATTAAAATGCCGTTTAATTAATAACTACACGTACAAAACGATGCGATATATAAAACTCGATTGGATGAGCTGCGCGAGAACTTAACATTAAATATCTTTAATGAAAATGTCAAACGGATATGAGATAGGCCCTAACAAATTTCTGATTGGCTGAGAGCAAAATTATAGTTTGTATAATTCTTGTAAATTTATAGCCTGCAAAAATAATTTGAATTGGACGGAAAGTTTTCTTTAATCTCCTGGTCATGTTAGTTTCACACAACAATTTAATGAAGATTGTCTCCGTCTTATTAACATTTCAGATCGATATATAAATAAGTAATTTCAAATAAGATGCCGGAACGAATTTTCTTCTTTCAAAATCTCATTTTTCGAAAGGCAAACGCGTACTGGTAAGTTAGTTTCAAATTACATCCTCATGCGATGCATCGATCTTTTCACCTAGATACGGTCTGCGCAAAAAAACTATGCCAACCGTTTGCCAAAGTCAAAATTAATCAGAAATAGTGAAATTTCACAACACTTCTTCTCTCAGTTCAATCTAAACAGTTGGTATGTCACAAGCGATTAAGAGGAGATATTTTGTCTCAGTACATAACGTACACTTGCTTTAATATGCCACTTGGTTATGAATATAATTCAAAAGTATAATGTTTGACACGTTTTTCAATCGGTAAACAAATACAGAAGGTATATGTGTATGCTTTATCGGCGAAATAATGCTAAAATGAAGAGATTTTAGACAATACCGCCAAAGGCGAAGAGAAGTTCAGTAATTTCAGTTGCCTTATAATAATATTCTTGGCGTCAATTTCAATGCATCGTTGTTAATTGCATTTTAATTGACATTTTTTTATGTTTTGCAACCGTGGCAGATGTATTTAAACTAGTAGCTAACGGCATAAACTGGAAAATATACAAATTTACAGCAATTTGGAGAGAAACAATGGAAGTATTTTGAACGCTTTTGATCATAAATACGCAACGTATTGAAAAATCCCTTTTATAGTTTTAATATTCTTTTCATGTTATTTTAATAAATTAAATTTAAATTAAAGTCCAGCTATACTATTGCATAACATTTTAAATAAAGGCATTTTATGAAAATGTTTTAGTTACATGTGTCTAACAGTTTCTATTTGTCGCAATACCACGTTGCTTTTACATATTTCTTGTATTTTCAAATACTATATTGCATATGTCTTCTTTTTAAAGTTATTTTCTCACATTTTTGCTCGAATTACGTTTACAATTTGCCTGAATTCATTTTTGACTGGGGGGAAACTGCCCCTTGTCCCGCTCCGCCCTTCCCCCCCCCCCCTCCAGTACGCCTATGACAAGAATTGGAGTACGTTTCATGCGTTCTGAGGCACGCGCATGACCCCATGCAGTCCTGACACTTGTATTTGTAACGCGAGTCAGACCGGGAATGTGATCCTTAGTATGAAATTAATGTTAGAGGTTCTCTGCGGCTACTACTAAAAAGCGATACAGCGATACAGGAACC